AGACCTTTGTCCCTCCAGGATAAATATCCCTGCCCCCTCTCCCTCATCCTCCATCTCCTGTCTTGGTCTCTTATTCGCTGGCCTTTGTCCCTCTGGGACAAATAAATCTCCTTTGTCCTGAGAACTTGGTCTTGAGGGTCCTGAGCCAATACCGATTCGTTATAGGCACATCTCTCAGTACATTAAACCACAGTACATTAATCTGTGCCTCTCAGCCCTGGACTCTGAGCATCTTATAGGAAAGGTCTGTGATACTGTGTACCCTTGCTCCCAGGTATCCAATACAAAGGAGAAAAATCATAAGCAATCTGAAATCTATTTCATCCTCTCTCCAAAACATCCTTCTATTTTGCCTTTTGATAGCCTACAATTATATTCATAGTCATTTATGTTCACTGTATCTAATGGTTAAAGAAAAGTATAATTATATACATTTTAAATATTGTTAACAATTTAGTATAAGAACAGTAAATAAAATTTTAATTTTTTTCTATACAGCTCAGCGTTTTAAAATATCAGTTCTTCTTTTCCCTGCAAATCCATTAATGCAACTGGCATACAAATAAATAATTTATCCACTTATATTGTGTGGGAGACTGCTGTGATATCTCGCTGGGACAACACTAATAGCTGATAAAGTACTTATGTAAGTAATCATGTCTCTTAAAGAAAAATTACTATTGACGGTCTTCAAAGGCTGTGTAGAGAAAAGAACTCTAACAAAGAGAAAGGAAGAACTATAATTCATGTAATTCAATGTAGGAAAAAAGAACGTGCATTCTTCTGAGAGCACTGTGGCAAACAGGATATGCTATGTCTGAATAAGCTAGGCAGATTAGGAAAACCAAGACTAGGAACCCTCACTTTGGCTCCAACATTCTTCATGGTACAAGAATCCTGCCAAAAGAGTCTCCCTGCCCTAGGATGACAGGTAGTAGGCTTCCAGCTTTCTAGAGGTGAGCTGGCAGGCAGATGGAGTGTTGACGAGGCTTCCTGTCTGCAGAGTGACACTGAACTACAAGTCATGCCAAGAAAGAGGACATCCAAATGACTTTCTCTCTTCCACTAGTGAAACTGGAGGTTCTAGCCTCACATCCACTGTCAGAGCTCACCACTGAGAAAGGTGTGGAGTTTAGTCGGGTTTGAAAGACCAGCGATGCAGCTATGTGGAGGTTAAGTCACTACCATCTTTACAACAAAGGAGGCTGAACATCATGTGAGAAACAGCACCCGGAACTCTGGATTTTGTGATCATGTAAGAAATTTGTTTTTCTCAGATCATTTTAATCATATATAACTACACAAAGGCTTAGATATGCCAGTTATGGTTCCAGGTATTAAACAGACATTGAAACTAAGGAAGAATATAAGGTCTATTAGGAAGAAACAAGCCACTAGTCAAAATTTTTTTAAAAAACTTTTTTTCTTCTTTCTTTCTGAGCCTTGCTGTAAGGTACTGAAAACATTTCCCCTTTACAGCCACCTGGATTCAACCCTATTCCCAATGCCTGACACACTTCGATCATGACTTCAGGTGACAAACCTCTGCTTGTGACTCACAACACAAATCAACAGCAGAGTGGCTTTCCCTTGGAGGAGTGTGTACTCTGACAGCTGTGAGCATAGACAACCACGGTAAAATGTTTCGTTTCACTCTTCACCTAAAGAGAAGCGACCTACACATAAACTGGACTTCATTTTCAACATCAGTATTGAAAAGACAGGCCAGGCCTCTAACGAATACAGGATTCCCTTATGGTGTCTTCTTTTTTTTTTAAGTGTGTATGTTGCATAGACGTACACATGAAGGAGCCAGAAGAGGATGCTGAATGTCTTCTTCGATTGTTCTTTGTGTCGTATTCTTTAAAATCGAGTCCCTCCCAGAACCTCACTGTTTTGGCCAGGCTGGCCAGCAAGCTCTCAAGTGTTCTGAACTACACTGTAGTTGACATAAGTATGAAACCGCATGCCAACAGACTGCGTATTCCTTTGGCTCCGTGGTTCAGTATGCTTCCTTTTCCCCTATTAATAAAAATGTTATTACAGTTTTGTTAGGAATACAGACCACTAAGAACAACAGTCTCAAGAAGTTAATCAGCACAGCTTCAGATGGTACCTAGAAAGCTATGTGCTCTGTGATGTGTGACACGTAATTTGTTCCTAACAATAGGGCCAGCAGGATATTCTTAAAAGAAAATAGCATTCTTGATAAGGTACCAGTGTCATTTGCTCATGTTCCCATATAGCTCCTTGAACACTGGGAAGGGGTCTGGGAAGGCTTGAAAAGTTCTTGGTCATGGTTAGAAGAGTTGGATATGGTTATTTTATGGTAAGTCAAATTTGTAATTATGAGCTTATGTAACAATCACATATTATTATGTAATGATTCTGTCTTTGATTTTTATAATAAAAGATCTTTTAAAATTCAATAAAGAAACTGAATTTTAAACAAGGGGTTTGGGAAAAGCTTACACACTAAAGTGCTTGAAGCACAAGCATGCGAGCCTAAGTCTGACCCTCAGCATCCCCATTCAGAAACAAAGCAACAAGCCAAGCTGTAGTGGCACACACCATGCACGCCCTTAACCCCAGCACTCGGGAGACAGAGGCAAGTGAGGTGGACCTCTGAGTTCGAGGCCAGCCTGAACTACAGCGAGAGTTCCAGGATAGCCAGGGCTACCCAGAGAAATCCTACCTGAAGAAACAAACAAAAACAACAACAACAACAAGAGAAACAAGCATGAGGTATGTGCCTGCAAGCCCTGCACTGGGCAAGCAGAGACAGGAGGTCCACAGTGCTCACTGGCCCACCAGCCTAGCTTACTCGGTTGAATGCCTGGCCAGTAAGAGTCACAATAACCATTTATATAATCTAATCTTTGCCAATTACACACGCCATAGCTCTTCTCCGACACTGTCAGCCAAAGTGTAAACTGACAGCAATCCTCCTCCAAGAACACCCCAGCAATAATAGTCACGGGGCAGGTATCAATGCTGCAAGTCCTATCACCCAACTCTAGGCTTTGGCCTTAGGAAAACTCAAACCTCAATACAAGGGCTGCCTGTAAGGCTGCTCATTAGTGAGACACCCAACTGCAGGAGAGTGAAAACAGTGAAGGCCTTCCCTCTCACTTCCCATCCTTCCCCTTACTTCCTGCCCTTCCCCCTCACTTCCCACCCCTGCCCTCTTCTCTCCTGAGTCCTCGCCATCCCCTTGGCTCCTCACTCACTTAGGCACTGTACCAAGTGCTGACTAGACACCACTTGAGGCAGCCACGGCCAAAGCTGCTCAGTTACTTGCAGATCCCCTACCACAGTGGTTCTCCACCTTCCTAACGCCGTGACCCTTTAATACAGTTCCTCATGCTGTGGTGACCCCCAACCATAAAATTATTGTTGCTAATTCATAACTGTAATTTTGCTGTTATGAATTATAATGTAAATATCTGATATGCGAGCCCTGTGGGGGTGTCGACACACAGGTTGAGAACTGCTGTCCGACCAGAACATGGTGTCAACAGGCTTCTCCTGTCCTAAGACTAAATGCTTATCTGTATTCCATTAGTATTGTTACTCAATTACCTAGTAATAAAGGCTACAGACACAGTCCCAAAACACATTCAATAAAATATTTGAACAGAGGAAATTTCGTTCTTATTCTATCCCACCCAAAAATAACCAAAACAGAAAAAAAAAAAAGAAAAAATTATTTTCTAGGTCAGCATTTGGTACTAGAATAAATATTATTTTCATGAAGACATCTTAACCAATGTGTCATCTCCAACACATAAAATCTGCCCAATAAATACATATTGAATGAAATTTACTATTCCAAGCAATATTATCTGACAAATGGTATTCATATCATAATGAAATAAAATAATAGTAGAAGTCAACAGAAAGAAAACTACAGCAAATGTACAAACCCACAGAGATGTAATACGTTCGTGAATGATCAGAGGGTACTGACAAAGTCAGGAAGAAGACTTTAAAATTTCTAGAATCAAATGAAAATGAAAACACAATTTAAAAGAACTTAGGGATATAGCAATTAGTAAGAAGAAAGCTCAAAGCTGTAAGTGCTTAAATTAAAAAGTGAGAGGATCTCAAATACACAACTTAATGATGTACCTTAAGGTTTAAGAACATAAGAAAAGCCAAACTCAAAATTGATAGATGGAAAAATAATAATGATGGATCAGAAATCCATGAAATGGCAATAAAGCATAGAATATACAAAGAATCAATGACACTAAGCTCATTCTTTAAAAACAAAACAGACAATCAAATTAACCAGAGATAAGGAAGGCCTGAACTAATAATTCTGGAGATGAAGGGTGATATTATGACCAATACTAATGAAATTCAGAGGTTCATTAAGGAACTGTTTGAAAATCTAGACTCCAATAAATTGGAAAATCTAAAAGAAATTAGTAGAAATACTGTCTACCAAACTTAACAAATCTAATGGATATAAACAACTTAAACTGATCTATAGAGTAAAGAGACTGAAACTGTAATCTCCCAACTGAAAAAACAAACACAACAAAAGCCATAATATGTTTCACTGCATGTGTGGAATTTGGGAATTATAAGAGGTGATAAAGGAGAAAATGATTGTCAATGAAGGTGAAAGGTGATTCACAAGAAAATGGGAGCCCCTTTCCTATTGTATCATTTTTTTAAAAAAACACTGAAACTCTTAGTAACCTTTTAAAAATTAACCTTTACTCAGAATTCCAAGCAGGAAATATACCTTAAGCTAGACACAAAGATACTGATTATAAAAGAAAGAAACAATGATCATATTCAAATTAAGATGTTACTCATTTAAAACGTACCTTAAAAACAATAAGGAGTGGGTTTAAAAACTGAAAATAAGGCCAATGAAAGAGTATTGACAAAAACATATAAAGCACCTATAAAAGTGAAGAAAAAAAAGAAAATACAATCTAACAGGCCATGGATCTGTCAGACTAAGACCAAAAGTGCTCGCTCACCTGTTATGGCTGAGGGAAGCAGAAATGGGTGTGGGCACCACAGTCTGTAGCCCCTCCCCTTCTATCTCAGTGCCCAGGAGGCAGATAAGCTGGAGTTCTGGTATTCCTACACAGTTCACTTCATGCCAACTTTTACCTGCAAGAGCATCAAGAATGCACTCACTGAAAACAAAAGAGAAGCAGTCTAAACTTCTAACACTCAGGAGAGCAGAGGTCACTCGTGATGGAAGCTCCTTTCTCTGCCTTTCTGAGCTTTTCCACAAGCTAGTGATTCCCAATGTCAATGAACAAGGAAGGGTAACATTAACTGGAAAAATTACTAGTAAATAAAAAATGTCCGCTTATTACATGTGAACAATGCTAAATGACAACCCAATTCCCCAACCTCCCACACCCCAATAACAAAACAATAAAACAAGGAACTTACTCTCCATGAGATCCAGGTAAACCAAGAATGCTATATAAACTTGGGTGGCATCTCCTATATCTAATTCCATCATTTCTAAGTACTGAAAATCAAAACATAATTGTTAAACAGAGAAGGAATTAGCTCAATATTTTCTTTCATTTAATAAATATTCACTAAATGCATGCATAATATAGATATACACACATATATGTATATAAGCTATCTTCCAAATTTAATGGAAGTTAAAAGAAATGTAAGGTCTTATATCTGCCTCTAAAAAAAAAAATCTACAATTGTTAAACACATGCATACAGCCTCCCTTGCTGCATCTAAGACACCATCCTTATCAATCACAAAAATCTAAGAATGTTCAAGTCCTTTATATAAAATCCAGGAATATTTGCATAAAATCTGTGCAATCCTACCATACACTTTAAATCATCTATAGGTTACTTACAATACAGAATATAAACTAAGTGCTATATAATGTTTAGGAATAATGACAATAAAAGTGTGTATGTATAGAGTATAGAGGCAATTTTTTTCAATTCAAAAGAACAGCAAATCCTCCATATACGGAGAACCAGCTATACGTAAAATGGTCAGTTAGGCAAGTGACAGCTCTAAAACTGTATGAGGTATAAAACAGTGACAGACTAGGTCGGAGGAAATGTTCTCAGGGGATGGACTGGTAAATGTTTCACGACAGACTGGATCCAAAGTAAGCCTTGTAGGACTTGAGTACATGGAGAAGCAGAGTAATAGTGTGAGTAATTATGGAAAGTGAGAATAAGCTACATATATTCAAGAGTCTACAAAGAAACAGATCCAGCAGGAGCAGAGAAAACTTAAATATGACTTTCATTGGGTGATGTTATAGGATGCCTCCATTTCTCTGTCCTCTAATTTGCATACATAAAAACTTCTGCTAACCTCCTCACCACGCCCACTCTCGGGTGGGAGTTATTTAACTGAGTTTTAAGAAGCAAACTACTTCCTTCAGACTTGCTGCTTGTTACGGGAGAAACTCAGAAACCTATTCCTGCAGGGAAAGCCTTGGGCATCCAAACACGTCCGTGGGCGGCAGCTCTAGAAACAGAGCTGATGCACAGATGAGATATTTGCAGAACCTTGGAGGACAGACTGGATGTTACCTCCTCCTATCCACTGCATGGTAAATGTACAGGTTGGATAGAAGGGCTTTGTGTGTCCCAGTCAAGAAGTGCTTGACAATGGTACTGAGACATGATTTTGGGTCAGGCTACAAGGTCTATCTATGTGACAAAGCTAATCAGGAATTTTATCCATGTGGAGTACTTTGGATTTCTGAGTCAAAGAATAAAATAATAAGTTTGTAAATGAGGAAATCCAGTAACATTTTACTAAGCAATTTTCAAATTAAGTAACTAAAGAATATAACTGGAAATTCACATCATTATTTCTTTTCTTCTATATCAATTTGTTGATCCTGGAAGAAAAAACGTCAACAGGAAGATTTGGTAGTAGGTCTATACAGCCATTAGCTTCAAAGGGAAAGACTCCGCAAGTAAGAAAATTGTCTCAAGGCAACATCCAACCTAGATGCAGTTTTAAAAGGTCACTAATAAATACTTACACAGTGCTTTTTATAGGTCAAATACCTTATAAAAATGTCCACTATTATCCCCAGTTTTTAAATGAAGAGGCTGTGATACTGAAGTCCAGCGACACAAGTCAAAACAAGTCAAAGCTGGTAAGTAACAGAAGTAAGATTCGAAATGGAGAAGTCTGAACAGACTCCATGCTCCGAGTCCCTGTTAATGTCTTCTCTGTCTCTCTTCCTCTCCTCCCCCGTTGTTATAACTTGTTAAATTCATAACATTTCCATGCTATATTTCCATGTATATGAAGAAGATGAATGGAAGAGAGCAAGAAAACATCAAGCTTCAAGAAATGGGGAAAGTTTCTTTTCAGATTTGTATTTTCAAATATTCCCTTGATTATCTTAGATGCTTATCTGAGTTAATAACACAAAAAGAAAAGTTGCCATTTTAATGCACCAATCCAGTCCTTGAGATCCTTATACAACCTTTTCATTATCAGCATTGTGGCTTTGCGGATACAAACCACCAATTTCCCAAGCAGAGGATAGCAAAAGGCTATTCTTATTTTCCTTGAGGCCAATATAGAAAAACTCACAACGCGAATAGCCTTGCCCTGTCCAAGAACTCACTCAAACTTTCTAAGAAATCCGAAAAAGTGAGGTTCCAGTCCCATACAGAATGAAGATGCACACACTTTGGGCCTAAGGCTACGTGTAATGTGACTGTGCCTAACTAAACATTATTTGTGGACCCCTAGATCTCAGCCAGATCGGTTAACTGTGGATTCAATCAGTTCATCCCAGAAAGGGCTACCTAGTTAGGAAAACAGGTATTAGTGCAATGCTTATCAGCGGCCTCTGGATTCAGAAAGAGCGGCTTTGGCGGAGTGGAAGGAATGGTGCTAGTCCGTACCACAAATCATATAAACAAACAGAAATGATACTGCGGGCCGTGCCCACACGGCTCGCCCCCGCCGCGAGGCTGGCGTGCATCCTCCGCGGAGCCACGGGCGGGAGGGATCGATCGCTGCGAGGAGGGCCGGCGGGCCTCGCGCCTCCTGACCTTAGGGTGTGTGCCCATCCAGGCGTCCTCGGGAGCCCACGTGCGGGGGGTGCCGCCGCCGCCGCCGCCGCCAGCGCGAGCGGGCCCCGGGCTAGCGCCGCTGCAGCCCGGGGTAGGCTCGGGATCGCTGCGCTCCTCCATGCCGCCCACGCCGAGAGCCGTGGTGTACCGCGAAGCCCGCCCGGCCAGAAGCCGAGCCCTGCGCGCCGGAGTTCCGCTTCCCGCCGCGCACGCTGGGCGGAGAGTTCGGGCCACGCCCCCTGCCCAGGGGCGCTCGCACCTGCGCGGACGCGCTCCGGCTCCCCCCCCACCCCACCCCCGGTCTTCCCCCCTCCCCAAACTGGGCAGGTTGGAGAGTGGAGGAAGTAATCTGTAGTCTTGCCTAAGAAATGAAGGATTCCCCAGGCGGTGGTGGCACACGCCTTTAATCCCAGCACTTGGGAGGCAGAGGCAGGCGGATCTTTGTGAGTTCGAGGCCAGCCTGGTCTACAGAGCGAGATCCAGGAAAAGGCGCAAAGCTACACAGAGAAACCCTGTCTCAAAAAACCAATAAAAAAAAAAAAAAAGAAAGAAAGAAATGAAGGAGTCTTAAGTCCTCTTTGCCTTCAGATCCCGGACTTAATTTCCCCGAGAGCAGGAAAAGGCCCCATTCAGTTCTCTACCGTCGAAATTTAAAATAAAAACATAGTTTTAGAGCAAACTCACCTTTCAAGATAAGTAGAAACATGAGGGGTTGAACGACTGTTGAGAACTAACGTCAACACGTGACAAAAGCCCAAAAGCCAAAGATGAGACCTTCAGACTGATGAGTAGGACATGGTAAGTGGGTTTGGATTTACCCTGAGTAAAAAAGGGAGCCCGTGGAGGTTTCTGGTACATATTAACAGAATCCCTCCGAGTAATGAGGACAGACTGAAGAGATCAAGGAGTGATTACAAAACCACTATATTAACCAAGACCAAAAAGGCTTCCAAAATGAAAAGTACCAGGCAGGGTACTTCAGTACTTCAGAACACAGTGGATTAAGAATCTTGTGTTGTGGTGGCCCGCGACTTTAATCCCACAACTCAGGGTGCAGAGGCAGATGGATCTCCGTGAGTTCAAGGCCAGCCTGCTCCAAAGAGCGAGTTCCAGGTTAGCCAGGGCTACACAAAGAAACCCTGCCTTGAAAGACCAAGAGAAGAGAAAGAATCTTGTGTTGAAACGGACAAGATTTCCATGTGACCGTTACAACCGTCAGCAATGAAGCACAACAAAACATATTTTCAAAAGATGGAAATATCAAGAATCAAATTTCAGCAATAAACAAATAAATAAATATCCAAATGACATTCTGTAACTGAAGATTACAATTGCAGAAATAAAGAGTTTCAGTGGGCGATTCTTGACAGCCAAAATGGAATTATGGAGGAAGAGGTAGGTGAAGTTGAAGATGGAAATCAGAGGTGAACAACTGAGTGAGATTTTATTTTTATAAGGGGTGGGAGGCAGCGAAGTGCCAGACATGAGGAGAAATGCTCAAAATCCCAGTATTCAGGCCTGAAGCCGAAGGACTGTGGTTCTGTGTCTACAGAGTGAGTTCTAGCTCAACCTGGGCTGTGAAACAAAACCTTGACACCATCAACAGACACACAGAGAACGAACAAAACCTTGAAGGTTTGCCACATATCAACGGACTAACACAGAGAAGGGGGTAGGGAAGGTTGAAGAAATGATGGCCAGATTTTTCACAATTTTAATGAAACACATTTAACAGTACAAAACGATAAATGAATATCAATTCAAAGAGACGTGAGTTTGCGCTGTTCTAAAACTGTCAGAAAGAAAAAGAGAAAACCTTGAGTGTATCAGAAAACTAAATGCAAGGAAACTCCACCTACAAAGATTCATAAATTGCCCTCGAATATGTTATATCTAGATAAATTTTTTTTCTTTGCCTCCCCAAAACAGCTATTGAGCCCCCTGCCAAAGCAAATAGTACTGAAATTAGGAGGCCACCAAACATTGACACTGATTCAAATGATTAGAAATGAATAAACCCTTCTCTCTGGCTCCTGAAGACTTCAATCAGTCAAGGAGTTAATAGCATTGGGTTCTAATCTGAGAAAGGGGATCCTGTAATTCAGGATGGAGATCTACAGAGATTAGCGCCTATGTGAATAAGACTCAAACATCTTCAAGGGAAAATTTTTCTACTTTGTATTTAAAGGGTAAAGGGTGAGTAGAGGAGTGGAGGGGAGAGAGAAACCTGAACAGGTAAAGAAAGCGCTAGAAACTTTTCTTTTAAATGTAGATTAAATTCTATTGTCTAGAAAAATAGTGATATATGCACACTTACATATCAAGTGCATCTGACTTTTAATTTCACTGTCTATCTAAGAGTTGGATAAAAATGGAATTTTTGCTGCCAGTTTAAGAAAAGAGGACTTTAAAGTAGGTCTTGCTGATTAGGAATGGCTGAGTACGAACAAGAAGAATTCAGGACTCTCAGAGAACCTAGCATTTAAAGCACAGAATCAGAAGGATCCGTGTGGCAAGCTTAGAGTGAAATCTACCAGAAAGCAGGGTAGAGTTTCAGCTCTAATGGGCTACAGGAATTTTCCATTTGTAAATGCTTCAACAATTCATTAGATTAGAGTACTGAAGGGCTTAGAAGAAAAATTCGAGATAAGTAAGTAGCAGGGAATATGAGTCCCTTCTGAATAGTACCTTCGGAGTCATCTGGCACTTGATGCGCTGGTTTCCCTGGTAGATATTTGAGCCAGACCATTTTATTCCTACCAAAAAGAATCGGTAATATCTATGCATGGATATTTAGTTAGTCTCGAGAGAAAAGGGCAACACTAAATTGTGATGCAGAGTGTTGAAGAGAAAGAAGAAAGGGCTTTTATATAACACTGTGTAAGACAGCAACCCCAAGTTTTAAAATAGCTAGCATTCTAGATCAGCTTTTTCTCATTAACTCTTCATATATGTGTATATATATGTACACAAATCATATGGCTGCTTATTCTCTTGTCTCAAGAGTAGGTGAAATATTAATTCTAGTAAAATATTTTCCTACCCTTATGCAAGAGCATATATGAGGGAACCTCCAGCAAGTACAAACATATCTAGAATAAACCAAATACAAGTCTCTGATTCTTTTCATACACTGAAAAGTGCAATCCAATGTAGTGGGTAGCCATTTCAGTTTTGATCTGGAAGTTCCAACCCCCTCCTCTTGGCCCCCGCCTTGTAGGTGTGACAGTTACCGAAGCCTCAATGGGGGTTGGAACTTCCAGATCAAAGCTAAAATGGCTACCCACTACACTCCAAAGCCTCCATCAACGAAATTAGGATATTATATATTTCATTTAAGGGCTATTTACATATAGAACAAAACAAAATAAGGTTCCTAGGATAAAAAGCAAGCAAAATGCTTTTGAACAACATTACTGAGGTTTTTAGAGATCACCAGACAAGGTTTAAATACATGGATAGAAAGATCATGCACCTGGAAAGGTTTAATATCATAAAGAAAGAAACATTTTTAAAATTGATCTGTAGAGTCTATCAACCCCAAACAAGAACCCAACAGAGATTTTCCTAATAGTTGATGAACTGTTTCTGAAAAGTAGACATAAAGGATCCAAAGAATTTAAGAATTTTCTTACCATAAAACATGGAGTAACCTGCTTAAGGAAGTCTGCACTAAATAGAATGTGAACTGGATGTGTGTACTCCCAGCACTTGGGAAGCTGAAGCCGGAGGAATCTGAGTTTAAAGCCAGATGGAGAAACAGTGCAAATGGGCAATTCTGTAGATAAAGAGGTGCACAGATGCATGCTGAAATAGTAACTGGTTTGTAAATATAAAGAGTTATCAAAATCAATTTAAAGTCCTCCAAACATCCCATCTCTGCTCTTGCTTACAAAATGGAGGGAGGATGTGTCATGTGATCAGAGGGGCTTAAAAAGTCTCAAGTCTGCAGGGCGAGTTTGGACAGGCTGGGAGGAAACCCAGGAAAAAGGTGATGTTATGTCCTTGAATCCAAAGGCAGTCTGGGAGCACAGCTTCTTCCTTGTTTTGGAATCCCATCCTTCCCCCTTGAGGCCTTGAACAGATTGGATGAGGCTCAGCCACAATACAAAGAGAAATATGCTTAGCTTAAAGTTTACCGAATTGAAGGTTAATCATATCTAAAAGACTTCACAGCAGTCTCTATACTGTTTGGACTAAATAATAGGGCACCCTGGCCTAGCCGTGCTGACACATAAAATTAATCCCAGGAAAAAGCATTCCAAACAAAATAAAGACACTGAGTAACCTGAAGCTCAGTCTGCTCATCCCTGGGGAGAAGAGTAAAGCATGTGACAAGAAGGGACACGCAGTGGGCTTCATGTTGGTGGCAATTATCTGCTTCCCAAGGCAGGTGCTGGGCACTCAATTAATAATGTCAAAATTAGCACATTGTTTTTGGGATTATAGTTTAGTTTATACTATAGTTTGTGTTTAATAAATACTTTACAGCGCACAAAGGGATGATAGCTTGGTACTTTTGTAAATAAAGAGATGTAGCTATACAGGCTAAAAGAATAACTGGCTTTGAAAAAGCATCAGAATCAAGTCATAGTTCTCCAAACACCTCACCTCTAGCGCTTCAGTCACCGTCTGCTTCCAAAGTGAGTTTTCAACCTCTCTAAAGAAAGCTGACTATAAACCCACACTCCACACATGCAAATTGGAAACATGATATTAACATTATTCCAGGGACTGGAGAGATGGCTCTGTAAGTAAAATGCTTGCTGTCCAAGCAGGAGGCCCTGAGTCTGGGTCCTCAGCACCCATATAAAAGCTGGCAGAGCAGGATGTAGCTGGAATCCCAGTGTGGGGGACTGAAAGGCTTGCTGGACAGCCAGACTAGAAGAAGGAGCAAATTCTGTGTTCAGGAGAGCAACTGAAAGAGACAGCTGCTGTCAATCTCCGGCCTCCACATTCATGGGGGTGGGGGGGAGAGCTAAGACAAGCTCTTAGGTAACGGGGGAAATGAGAAGGTAATATGTAATATGGTATCTTAGTTTGAACTCACTTGGTTTGTGATAAGATAAACAAATGACAAGTATTCCTTAAAGTAGGGGGATTTTAGTTTTAAAAGTTGAGTGGACATTGGCCATGAAAGAAAAGAAAGAAGAAAGAACCTTGTGGTGA